TACTGCTGATAAGCTGAACTGTCATATGGAGACTTGTGACTGATTAAAATAAGGCTTTGTTCCCAAATTAGAGATCCTGCCAAGTTATAAAAAATACAATAGAAGTGGTGAGTATTAACAATTGGAGAAATAAATTTAAATATACTCAACAGAGGAAAGTCAGAATGTATACACGTATGAAAGATCATCTTTTGAAAAAACTGTAACTAAAATAGTTTTGTTAAGGTCTTTGACAACCTCAAAGCCAAACTAGGGAAGTGCTGGTGAAAAAATATATCCCTTTATTACTAATAACTTGAAGCAACTAAGATTAATCTAATCAAAGAACAAAGATGACCTTTATAGATTCTAAAGAATTTTAATATTCTTACCCATAACAGCAATGGCTTGACTCAATTCATGATGCTCTACTGTGCCACTTCGGTCTTGATCAATAGTCACGAAGTTTTGCTTCCAGGCACTAAGAGCTGCCCACAGCTCTTTGAATTCATTAAATCCCATTTTTCCTGTGTAATCTCTCTGATAGTTTTATTAATAAAAATAAATTTTGATACCTGAGAGATCTGACTCAAAACTCCAAATCATTGACTAAAAATTAAGTATCCCTTTGCAGTTAGTCAAACTCAGCATATGGATAGATTTCTGTGTAAAAATAAGAAAGTCTGGAATTTTAACAGGATCTTAAAGTACTTTGCTCGAAGCTTTACACAGCAAGCAACATAATCATCAAAGAAGATTCTGCCATTCTTGCTATAACGTTTAACAATAGCAGTTAATGTTCGAGGACTCAATCTATAACCTAAAAAAAGAGATTGATAAATTAAAACTTCTAAAACTAAATATCATAAGAACACTGCAAGATTGCTTTCTTATTAATGAAGTTGTAAAATAAACTTTTGAAAGATATTTGACAAAAATATATATTAGAAACAAAACACATTAATATTGAAACTGATCAAAGCCTTCAATTCTTAACACTGTTAAGTGTTACATAAATATTATAACTCTAGCTTTGTAGTAAAGTCAAAGCTAAAGAAAAGAAAATATGTTCTTATGAATTTATCATCTATTTTGAGTGTAAAATAATATCTAGGGTATTTCATAAGTTTTAACGCTTCAATACTTCAATTCTTTAACTTTTTTATAGTTCTTACAGAATATCAAAGCAAAGATTTTTAGTGATTTGCTATCATTCAAATCCTATATTTCCTACTGAATATATTACCTGAAAGTGTCTTTTATAGCTACAGAAAATTTAAAGATTAACACAGTTACTCAAAAGGGGAAGAAATAGAAAAATGTTATCCATTTTGTCCTATATTCTGTTTCTTCACACACTGTAATTATAACCACAGCCTCCTTACTATTTCACTAATTTCCTAGGTTCTTTGTTCTAGTCCCATCTTCTGATTGTGTACTTCT